GCTTTGAAACGGAGATGAGCACCGCAACCCTAGAGTCGGACTCGACTGGCTTTCGAGCAAGGGAACTTTTACCGTTACTTTAAGGGCGAAATGCTCTTGAGGAGAGATCAGAGGAATGTGGGGAGTTGAAAAGGTTATCATTGGCCCTGGTCACACGGAGAATTGGCCGCGCGAAAGGCACGAATGTCGGGTGGATTTTCAGGGCGCAATCACACCACAACATCTGAGAAGCGTAGCGCACCCGTGGCCAACTCGTGGCATCCCACCAAAGATGTGGCGTTAAAAAGTACCAAGGAAAGTGCACTAGTATCCGGAAAACGCGTGGCACAGGCGTGCGTCTGATCGAAGGAGCGCTAGTATCCCGTGGCATCCAGCGCCCATCCACATCCCGTTGCAACCCGGATGTTTTTCGTAAGCACATGCGCACAAACACGAAACTGAAAGCAGTGCTGCTCCGCAGAACTGCGCATGCGCACAAACGCAAAACGCTTATGTGATCGCTCCGCGCCGCTTCTTTGCCACGCTGCAGCATCGCCGTGGGGGGATCGTGTGGGGCCGTGTGATCGCCGTGGGGGGACCGTGTGATCGGGCTACCGCGCTTTATTTTGCTCCGGGGCAAACAGCCACGCCTCCCCACCCCACCCCCGCGTTATCTGGCCGTTGTGACGGGGGCCTATGTAACCTATCACTAAATTCAGCCACTGTACCAGTAGACTGGAGAGTAGCATATGTGACACTGATTTTTTAAAAAGGGATCCAGGGGAAAACCAGGAAATTATAGGCCAGTCAACCTAATGTCTATCTCAAAAAAATTAGTAGAAACTGTAATCAAAGAAAGAATTAGAAAAGAGTATGAGTCTAGTAGCACCTTAAACACTAACAAAATTTGTGGTGGGGTATGAGCTTGCAGTCCAAGGGACTCTTGAGAGTCCCTTGGACTGCAAGAAGATCAAATCAGTCAATCCTAAAAGAAATCAACCCTGACTGTTCCCTGGAAGGCCAGATAATGAAGCTGAAGCTCAACTACTTTGGCCACCCAATGAGAAGGGAGCACTCACTGGAGAAGACCCTGATGCTGAGAAAGATTGAAGGTCAAAGAAGACGGGGACGGCAAAGGATGAGATGGTTGGACAGTGTCATACCCTGTTTCCCCGAAAATAAGACCTACCCAAAAAATAAGCCCTAGCAGGATTTCTATGCATTCGTGGTATAAGCCCTAGTGTGTCTTCTTGAGAAAAAATAAATATAAGACAGTGTCTTATTTTCGGGGAAACACGGTAGATGCAACGAACATGAAATTGAGCAAACTTCAGAGGACGGCGGAAGACAGGAAGGCCTGGGGTGAACTGGTCCATGGGGTTGCGAAGTCGGACTCGACTGTGCGACTGAACAACAACAAATGATTTCATTTATTCCTAAATGATGTGGAAATAGGGGTGAGTGGTGTACTGGCCAAGTTTGCAGATGACACAAAATTATTCAGGAGGGTGAAAACCAAGGCTGACTGTGAAGCGCTCTAAGAGGACCTCCACAGACTGGGTGGGTGAGCAACAGTATGGCAAATGAAATTCAATGCTGATAAGCCTGAGGTGATGCACACTGGGACAAAAAATCCCAACTTCAAGTATAGGCTGATGGGGGTCTGAACTTGCTGAGACTGAGAGGGAAAATATCTTGGCGTCTTAGTGGATAGCTCAGTGAAAGTGTCAACTCGGTGTGCTGCAGCGGCGAAAAAGGCAAACCAGGGGTCATTTCCTGCAGGAGCGCACAGGAGCGGAGCTCCGGCAGTAAAGAGTCCAGGGGGCGGGCACATGCAACAAGCCCCGCCCACTGCTCCCAGCAGCCCTCAGTCAGAGCAAGAAGCAGCCAGGTAAGCTGCAGAGCCCCCCCCCCCGGCCCCCTGGTCCAAAGCAAAAACAAGCCAGGTAAGCTGCAGACCCCCCCCCCCCCCGGCCCCCTGGTCCAAAACAGTCCAGTGGCACCTTTAAGACCAAGTTTTATTCAGGTACAAGCTCTCCCTCCTCCGTGAGGACAGATCTGCACATTCCCCCTCCCCAATAGCTAGCAATCCAGAACAGTCCAGTGGATCCTGAGCGGTGGGTGTTGCCCTTCTGGTGATGTCAGGGGGTGTGGCATATGCAAATAAGTCATGCTAATGAGCTCCTACAACTCTTTTTCTACAAAATGACCCTGAGGCAAACTATATGTCAGCGATTATTAGGAAAGGGCCTGAACATTAAACAGTCGGGATTGTAATGCCCCTGTATAGATCTATGGTGCAGCTTCATTTGGGATACTGTCTGTCTACAGTTGCCGCATGACGGAGTGAGCTCCCGTCTCTAGTTCCAGCTCCTGCCAACCTAGCAGTTCGAAAGCAAGAAATTGCAAGTAGATAAGTAGGTACCACTTCGGTGGGAAGGGAACAGCGTTCCGTGCGCCTTGGTGTTTAGTCATGCCGGCCACGTGACCACGGAAACGTCTTCGGACAGCGCTGGCTCTTCGGCTTTGAAACGGAGATGAGCACCGCAACCCTAGAGTTGGACTCGACTGGCTTTCGAGCAAGGGAACCTTTACCTTTACCTACAGTGCTGGTCACCGTATCTCCAAAAGGACATGGCAGAGCTGGGGAAAGTACAGAGGATGGGAACCAAGATGATGAGGGGCTGGAGTAACTTTCCTATGAGGAAAGGCTGGAAGAGTCTGGGACTTTTAAGTTTAGACAAAGAGATGAGTCAGGGGGGGACACGACAGAGGTTTATAAAATTATGCACGAAGTGGAGAGAGTTGACAAAGAGAAATGTTGTGTTTGTCTTTGGTGTCAGTTTGTAAAAAGAGGTGTTGTGTGTGTATGTGGTGTGTGTTTAATCTGTGTTGATTTGCTTCTTTCTAATTTTTGGCAATGTACTTTATGTCCTTTCCCACAGATATATTTAATCACCAGAGGATTTGATTTGGAGATTCTGCAGGGAGGTTTTAAATCCTTTGGCTTTCTGTACGTTTGTATCCATAAAACCTGTGGGGATGGTGTGCTGTTCGTAGCCCCACTGGGTCGCCAAACCTGCCTTCCCCAGCACGGCTGTCTTTGCCAACAGAAACGGGAACAAAAGAAACATCCCACTTTGGAAAATAGAATTTGGTAGTTTCTTAGGAATGGAATACATACGGAACACTGCGGATTCTGCTTCCGCCCCTCTCTGCAACGGAGATGCTCGCTAAGTGACGTACCTCTAACACGGCAACCTCTTGTGCATTTCGGAGCAGACGGAATGTCAAAGGATGCTTGGAATCCAGCCCCGGAATAACTTCACAGCCACGCAGGGGAATAGAGACAATATGGTTCTTCAGATCCGTTCGGTCTTTGTGGAAGATAAGTTTATTATCTTTCACTCTGCACCAGCGCTCACGCCAACGGTTATTCGACAGCACGTTCAAATAGCCTGCAAAACAGACAAAAAAGGAAGCGTCTTCAGTTTTTTACACTTCCAGGTCCTTCCAAACCAACTTGATACTTAGCAAATGCCAGCAACTGGGGGATTCAGCCCAGAGGTTCCCCATGAGTGGAGGCGCATTTTTTAAAAGCTTTCTCCAGTGGTAATAAGGGTCCTGTTTTTGCAATTCTTGGGACAGGGGCACCAAACGGGCCCAACCGACACAGCCGCTGCCTCAGCACTTCCCTTCCTAGGCTGCAGGGGAGGAGTGCCGTTTTGTGGCAGAAGGCATTGTAAATATCTCCATCGTCCTGATGGGCTCCTCCTGCTTGGGTGCTATTTCCTCTTCTGCCTGTCTAGGAAGACAGGATGATATCAAGGAGCCAATCAGCTTTGACAGCTAGACAGTCTGGCTGAGCACTCTCACTCTGATTGGCCCTGGATTGGAACAATGCCACGCTCAAGATAAAGCAAGATGGGCAGCCGTGCTACTCTGTCTGCAGCAGTAGAAAAGAGCGAGAGTCCAGGAGCACCTTCAAGACTCCAGGAGCACCTTCAAGACAAGCAATTGCAAGTAGATAAATAGGTACCACTTCGGTGGGAAGGGAACAGCGTTCCGTGCGCCTTGGTGTTTAGTCATGCCGGCCACGTGACCACGGGAACGTCTTCAGACAGAGCTGGCTCTTCGGCTTTGAAACGGAGATGAGCACCGCAACCCTAGAGTCGGACTCGACCAGTGTTCCCTCTAAGCTGAGTTAGTGTGAGCTAGCTCACCATTTTTTAGCCTCCAGCTCACACATTTTTGTCTCAGCTCAGGAAGGATGGCTCTAGAGCAAACTAATTTATGTAGTAGCCAAACTGCTTACTCACAACTTTAATGCCAGTAGCTCACAAAGTAGAATTTTTGCTCACAAGACTCCACGACTTAGAGGGAACATTGGACTCAACTGGCTTTCGAGCAAGGGAACCTTTACCTTTACCTTTAGCTCACAAAGTAGAATTTTTGCTCACAAGACTCCACAGCTTAGAGGGAACATTGGCTGCATGCACTGGTTTTTCCAGTCAGATCAGGGGGAAAAGATCCAGAGAAGTGAACAGGATTCCACCCTGGGACGTGGATGAGGGGTGGGATATTACAAAACCAAAGAAAACAACTGGAGCCTAAATTCAAGAGACAAGTGGAAATCCCCAGTTGCCCCGACAAAATCGCTATGGCATGCAAGACTTTGGAATCAGTATGTGCTAGCCAGACTTACTCTTGCTTTAAACCAACAGGCCTCTCCCAAAACTTTGATCAAATTTAAAACGGCCTGGTTATCGATTGCGAACTATCCTTCTGAAAAGGAGATTCCAAAAGACCTCTACCAATGTTATGTATAATTTTTAGATAAATATTGTATATGTCCCTGTATCTCACTATTTAGACATTTGTTCTTTAACATTAATATTTTCCCTATGGCGATAGTATTCAAATTTGATGTATATAGGTCCCAATCACACGCAGAATTAGCTGCGGGACAGGCATGAGTGCCAGACGGATTTAAAGGGTGCGATCAGACGCAAACATCTGCCCAGTGTCCCGCACCTGTTGGCAACCCGTTTTGCTCCGCCGCAGAAGCGGAGTAAAAAGACACTGGGGAAAGTCCAGTAGGAAACGGGTTGTTACACGCCACGGACGGACGTTCCCCTGTGTGATCGCTCCAGCGTGCTCTCATGGTGTCGGGATGGTCTGATCAAGCCATCCGGGGATGGTCTGATCAAACCCTCCGGGCTCCGTGCCGTTGTCCCCCCCCCCCCTTCTCAGTATGCGCATCATTGCATACTGCCGGAGGAAGCCCTCAGTGTGGAGATGCAATTCACTTATCCTCTGTTTAAGTGAATCGAAAACAAACAGCAAAAAAACAAAAACAAACGCTGACTCACCCACGATTGCGTCTGATCACGGAGTGGTGGGCTATGCCCACGGATTCAAAGAACTGTGTGATCGCCCAACTGCGGGTCAATTTCCTCCGGGGTAAATAGCCTCGCTTATCTCGCAGGTGTGACCGCAACCATAGTTTATCTTACCTCTTTTGATGTTTATGTTCTCTTTCTATTTTGTGTAATAAAACTTTATTTTAAAAACAAAGAGAGAGACAAGTGCCGTCAGCAGAATAAGGAGAGAGCCAGGAAGATTTGGAATACCATGGAATACAAATATGGCTGATCTTTATCTAGCTGTTGCCTTCATTTGTTTACTTGCAGGTAACAAGAGGAGAACACGGGAGGGTCACTCACCACAGGTGGGGACGTCTTCTTCAGCCGATGAGGTCTGTTCGTCTGTGGAGGGCTTCTTCTTCCCTAAACCAATAATCTTGGTGATCTTTTTCCCCGTTACTTTAGTCACAGTGCCTTTGGAGTCTGACTTCGTGCTCTTTTTCCTCTTTACTGCCGAGGGAAACACAAGTCTTGAGTGTGTAAAGTGACGTCAAGGTGCAGCCAATGCATGGCGACCCCATCGAGGGGTTTTTCAAGGCAAGGGAGAAGCGGAGGTGGTTTGCCACTGCCTTCCTCCACAGAGTCTTCCTTGGTGGTCTCCCTTCCAAGAACTGCTTAGCTTCCAAGATCTGGCAAAATCAGGCTATCCCGAGCCACTTTCCTTCCCACACAAGTCTCACACTTCTTCAAAAGACCCAGTTATGCAAGCAAATCAGTTGCACCACAGACGTTTTTTCTTAATATGAGCAAGTGAGAAAGGTGAAGGAACGAAAGCCAAATCTAGCTAACCGAGCATCAATTAATTAATTAATTAAGCATTAATTAATTAATTAATTAACTGGAGGATTGGCATGCTGCCTTTCCGGAGACCTTCTCAAAGAGGTAAGAAACAAAATAGGTAAGAACAGTAAAACAATGGAAACCCCTACCCCACGGGCAGTAAAAACCATCCCCATCATGTGGGCATAAACCTACCATTCCAGTGAAAGAAGCATAAAACCACCCACAAAAACATTTTGGAAGACTTGATCTGGACAAACTACCCCTTTCAGTATTTCTAAATGCCTTGGAAAATACATTTTCAAAAGACAAAAAAAAGAAAAAGAAAGAACAGTAAAACAATGGAAAACCCTACCCCACGGGCAGTAAAACCATCCCCATCATGTGGGCATAAAGCTACCATTCCAGTGAAAGAAGCATAAAACCACGCACAAAAACATTCAGGCAGGGTTACAAGGCATAAAAGAAAAACAACTTAGAGCGTGGGATAAAACATCAGTTAAGAGCCTGGGTTTCGCCTGTGCACGAATGACAACAAATCATGCCAGGTACGCCTCAAGAGGGAAGGCGTTCCAAAGCTGGGGTGCCACGACTGAAAAAGCCCTGCCTCTGGTCGCCTCACTTCCACAGGCAAGGACACAGACAGCAGGGCCAGAAGGTACCAGAGGAGGTGGTCCTTCAAGCACCCCAAGCCCCAGCCAAAAGGCCGTACAAGTAAGAATCAGCACTTTTGAGTGGAGCCCAGAAACAGGATGGGCATAGGGGTGATACAACCCTGGTATTCAGCTCCCTCCCATCACTAGCTCGATGGCCGCATTTTGTTCCAGTTGAAATTTCTGCACAGCTTTTAAAGGCAGCTCCATGTAAAGTGCATTACAGTAATCTAATTGAAAGGCAGCCCCATGTAAAGTGCATTACAGTAGTCTAATTTAAAGGCAGCCCCATGTAAAGTGCATTACAGTAATCTAATTTAAAGGCAGCCCCATATAAAGTGCATTACAGTAATCTCATCGGGATGTGGTCAGAGTATGATTTACCATGGCCAAAGACCCAAGTTAGATTACTTCAACAGTTTACAAAGTGCTGCCTCTAAAAACTGCCAAAAGCGACACTGAACCCAAAATGCAGGGGCCAGATTGCTGGTAGAGGCCGGACCCAAGGTGAAATCCCTTGTAGTTACTGGATGGTTCTGAATGTCACTCTTCTTCACATTCCAGATGCAGAATAAGAACCTCCCAGAGCTGTTCTAATAGAGATGGTTTTTAAAAATGCAGAAATTATGACATTTTACTTCAGTGTATGAAGCTGGACGGCAGTGAATATTCTATTGCTGATACTTTTCCCCAGCAATTTGTCTGTTGGACTGTATGAGGTGCTGCCCTCCCCAAAAATCTGCCGCCTCACACACCCCTTCATTACAGAGCTGGTCCGGTGGCCAGCAGCAGCCACTGTCGCATCCCAATACTTCCACACTGCAATTACTGCCAATGCCCTATCCACTCTTCTACTTCTCTGCCTGCCTTTCCCCCTCTGTGGATGCCGTGCATATCAGGTCTCTCTGGCCCTCCCCCTTTTTTGCTAACCCGCCTCTTGGGCTCCTAGCATGTTAGCTTCCCTTCCACTTGGGCCCTGGATACCATAGTTCGCCAAGCCCTGTTGAGAAATTTTCACCTCCAGTAACATAGACTTCTCATTTCCCTTAGCTAAGAATGCTTGTAAAAAAATGCAGCGCTGCTGCTTCTTTTGTTGCTTTTAAACCAGAAGTTTTGTAAGCATCCTGTAGCCCAACTCAAGCCTTGTTAGCACTGTCCTCCTACCTTGCTCTTTTCCATTACAGATGGGGGCAGTCCCATTTTCTACAACACCCTCTCCGTCAGAACTTGGTCTTTCCGAGGACAATTTCTGCAAGGACGAAAAAATTAGGTCTCTGTTAATGTGGTCACATTGGAAAGAGAAGTGTCACGAACAGGGCTTTTTTCGTAGAAAAAGCCCAGCAGGAACTCATTAGCATAACAGGCCACACCCAACATCAGAAACTTATTAGCCTATTAGGCCACACCCCTGACTGCACAGCTCATTAGCATATTAGGCCATGCCCCCATGTTGCCAGAAGTGTGGTCATCCAGCCACACCCACCTTTTGCTTCTTATTCTGTTTACTTTGCTGTCAAAACCCTGGGCTTTTTTTGTAGCAGGAACTTCTTTGCATGTTAGGCCAATCTTAATGAGTTTCTGCTGTTAGCTGTGGCCTATCATGCTAATGAGTTCCTGCTGGCAATGGCCAGCTCAGGAGCCAGCCGGAACTCTGTTCCTGTGCGTTCCTGCCCCAAAATAGCCCTGGTCACGAATTAAACCATGTGCCAAACTCTCCTCTGTCTACACAACAAACGTGAGCTTGCCGAGAATTAAGAGGAAAGATGGGAGCAAAAGTGACATCAGGGTGAAAAAGATTAAGTTGTTCTCAAAGACATCCATTAAAAATTGTTTGGGAATCAAATGTGCCCATTCCAAAGAATTCCAGCCAAGACCAAAACTACATGAATTTTAAATTTTGGGTTTTTTGCTTTGAATGTATTTTATCTGATGTGTTTTATCTATGTTGTATGCCACTTCAGTTCAGTAAGAGAGAAAGACAGTTAATAAATGTTTTAAATAAATGAAATAAAATAAATAAAAGAATTCATTTTTACAGGAGTTGACCTCTTCACACAAGCACTACAAAACACATTACATGCCAGTACTGTCAAATATCACAATTCCTTCAGTAGGTGGATTTTTCACATAGTACTTCTTTTCCAGTTACCTAAGTGCTTTGGCTGTTTGGATATAATTCACAGTCTGACACACAAGAAGCTGCTTTATACTGAACTAGTAATAAGGCCTGTTGCAAAAAGAAATGAAACGAACTCTAGAAAGAGGGTCTGGGAGAGTGCTCTGGCCTACAGCAGTCGCCCAGCCCCCCCCCGGTCGGCCCCGCCGCCCAACCTCTGGCTGTGCGGCTTGTCTGTCCTCCCCCCGGCCCTGCTCTGACTCACAGCCATTGTAAACAGCGCGAGGCGGGCAACGGAGCCGGTGTGTGAGGCGGAGCCAGTTCGAACGGCCGGAACCAGGGAGGAAAGGTGAGCGGCCGGGGCAGCGGTAGCATGAGGGGAAACCGGCCGCCGCTCGCTGGGTCCTCACTCCATGTATGGGGCACGTAAGGGATGGAGGAGGTGGTGGGAGAGGACTGAAGCGAGGGCCCCCTCCCCACCCCCGACACTACACATGAGCCAGAGGGAAGGAGGCCCCAGCCACCCCCAGCCCCACGGAGAGTCCTGTCCATCCCTTCCGGTCAGCTCCGAGCACACTGAGCCAGAGACACTGGCCGCCACTTCTGTGGGCGGGACTCCGCAACCCAGGCAGCCAACGCCTTCTGAGTGGCAGTTCAGGCAGCCAACTGATTTTGGTGTGCATAGAACTTTGCCACTTGAAAACGGAATTATATATAAGGAGAGCTAAGACCTCAAAGCCAGTATTGTCTACTCAGACTGGCAGCAGCTCTCCAGGGTCTCAAGCAGAGGTCCTTCACATCGCCTACTACCTGTTCTTCTTTAACTGGAGGTGCTGGGGATTGAACTTGGGACCTTCTGCATGCCAAGCAGATGCTCTACCACTGAGCCACTGCCCCCCTGGTCTTGTAGCACTCGAGTAGCACTTTCAGAACCGCACGGTCCAGACTTATACTTTCCTCACAATTGTTCTGGGGTAGGAAAAAAAGTATTTAGGTGTTGCAGAAATCCAGTCAATTCAGTGTCATCCCTCACCACTCAGGATGCTCAGCTTTCTGTGCTGTCCCTGGTCTCCAAAGACTTTTCATATTTCCACTTGGGTATCTCATTGTTCTCAGATATCATATCCAGAGCAAATTCCTTATCCTTATCTTTCAACCTCTCCAGCAGTCTTACTAAATCCTTTCATTCTACCTCTGTTCCTCATATCTCTGCCTGTGACCTTCACTTCGCCATTTCTACCTCTCGTGGCCCATGCTCGCTCGATCCTCACTCCTAGGCCTGGAATGTTCACCGAGCGTTTTCTGTCTCTCTCATTTCGTTCAAATTCCTTCTCCAAACCATCCTTTCCCTCACATTCCTCGGTCCACACCCCTGAAACAGACGACAAAGTGCATTCACTGCAGCTCATCTTTTGTTTACCTCACTCCTCTGATCTCACACCTCAAGTGCAAGGGGACCTTTTATTTGGCTAACGAAATTCAAAGACTGGCAACATCATATAAAACAACGACAGTGAAATTTATTTCTCCATACACAAATCTAAAAGAGATCTCAACTTCCTCCAGAACCTAACCCGGTGTTCCTTTTCACAGTCCAGTGCAATGGAAAGTACGTCTGCTTTCCCGTCTTTGTTGCTTATCCCCCCCCCAGTCCTTGATCTCTCCAGGCACCAAAATTTAAGCCCCTCTTTCATTGTGCTGATGTTCCTGAAAATATTTGACCAATGAAGCTGGAATCCTGCCTGCTCTTGTAACTCTTGCGCTCACAAGCAGCCAAGAGCCCCTCTTAGCGAACACTGGGCCAGAAATAACATTCACAGCAGCGGCTGAGGGAGATGGCTTTTATTCTTGTCAGGACAAAACTTGGCTCGAGGCGTCCTTCGAGCAAAGTTCTTTGCCCTCATGCATGAATGGAAAAATAAACCTGGTGGGTAGCCAGCTTGAAGTGAGAGAAAATACCTCTCCGGTTATAAATATATGACCAATGAACGGAAGCAGGAAGTAGTCCCCTTTACCTGGTATGGTTACCAACCTCCAGGTGGGGGCTGGAGACCCCCCCCCCCCGGAATTATAACTGACCTCCAGACTACATACTTAGCCTATTACTTATTCATTTAAACAGGGCTCTTTTTTTGTAGAAAAAGCCCAGCAGGAACTTATTAACATAATAGACCACACCCAAAAGCAGAAACTCATTAGCATGTTAGGTCACACCCCATGGCTTCCCTTGGCTTGCCTGGGTGCCCCACAGCTGCGGGGCGCCCGGGCAAGCCCCCCCTTGAAGGGAAGGCAGTTTAAACGGCATTCCCTTGGCTTGTCCAGGCACCTCACGGCTGCGGGGACCCTGGGCAAGCCGGTCCTTGGACAGGCCCAGGGAGGCATTTAAATGCCTCCCCGACCCTTCCAGGGCCCCCCCGGCCGGCCTCGGAGTTGCCGGGGGGGGGTCCGCTCTCCAGGCCTTCCCTCCGTAGCCGCGCATGCGCAGAGGTTTTGGCTGTAGTGGGCGTGGCCAACTCTGAAGCCAGCCGGAACTCCGTTCCTGTGCGTTCCTGCCCAAAAATAGCCCTGCGATTTAAAACATTTATTCCACTTCTCCTGGAGAAAATGGGTGCTTTGGAGGAAGGACTGGACAGCGCCATATCTTCCAGGGTTCCCTCCCACCCCTGAAGCCCTCTGTGCCACTCTCCCAGGCTCCACCCTCAGATCGCCACGTATTTCCAAACCCGGAGTTGTCAACCTTACTACCTGCAGAAATTGTTGGTTATTTTGGAGGGGGAAAGTCATATATATGAGTACAAAATATATCAGAGTACAAAAAATTAAAGAAGGGTAAGTAGAAAAGCAATACCTCTTGATGCAGAAGTCACTCCAGGAGCTTTAAACAACAAACCAACCACAAAACCCCGCACAATAATGCGGAAGATGGAATAAGAGACTTCGGTTCGGCTCCTATGACATACATGCATATACATTTTTTCCTCCTGCTCTCCCCCTGCACCCGAAGCAACCCGAGCTGCAGTGTTAGGAGAGTCTAGTAACAAATAAATATACACTGCAAAAACCTTTTAGCAAACTAATGTGTTCTATTTATGGTCATCATTTAGTAAAGTGCATAAAAAGGTAAAGGTAAAAGTTCCCTTGCTCGAAAGCCAGTCGAATCCAACTCTAGGGTTGGGGTGCTCATCTCCGTTTCAAAGCCGAAGAGCCAGCGCTGTCCGAAGATGTTTCCGTGGTCATGTGGCCAGCATGACTAAACACCAAGGCGCACGGAACGCTGTTACCTTCCCACCGAAGTGGTACCTATTTATCTACTTGCAATTTCTTGCTTTCAAACTGCTAGGTTGGCAGGAGCTGGAACCAGAGACGGGAGCTCACTCCATCATGTGGCACCCGGGTCTCGAATTGCTGATCTACCGACCTTCCACAGCCTGCAGTTCAGCGTCTTAACCACTTGAGCCACCGCAGCTCCTTCAAGGTAAAGGTAAAGGTTCCCTTGCTTGAAAGCCAGACGAGTACGTC